AAAAATAGGCAGGGCATGGTGGTTCACACCTGTAATCCCAGCACTTGAGAGAGGCTGGTAGGCAGATCACAAGGTCAAGAGATCAAGACCATCCTGGTCAACAAGGTGAAACACCGCCTCTACTAAAAATACAAAAAATTAGCTGGGCATGTGGCACATGCCTGTAGTCCCAGCTACTCGGGAAGCTGAAGCAGCAGAATTGCTTGAACCCAGGAGACGAAGGATGCAGTGAGCCGAGATCGCGCCATTGCCCTCCAGCCTGTGTAACAAGAACGAAACTCCGTCTCAAAAAAAAAAAGATAAAACAAGTCCTGAAATGCTGAGGCTGAGGAATATGAAGACTGCTCACCCCGGCCCCAACCTGGAGGCTTGAGAGGCAGGCACTGCCCCTGGGCTCTGCTTCAGTGTTTGGGTATCCCCTATGAACTTGCACCCCAGCCCTTTCACACCCCAGCTCCCCCCTTCATCCCCCCTCTGCTGCCAACATCCCCCAGGCAGGCACGGGGGACTCGCTCCTTCCTTGGGGCTTAGTCACTTCCTCCCTGCCCTCCCCAGGACAGAATTAGCTGCTCCTCATCTGTGTTGGTCCAGCACCTTGGGTAAACAGACCTGGATTGGGCATTCAGCCCATCAAGGTCTCATTAAATGTTTACCTGTCTGTCTGCCCCAGCCAGCCGGGAACCTGTATGGCCCCAGCGCAGAGCAGGGACCCAGTGAAAGCAGGTGAAAGGATGCAGACAGCCAGAGGAAGTCCCGAGGGTCCACTGCAAAATCCTGATGATGAGGGAAGGGGTTAATCAGATGCTGGGCTCAGGATGGCAAGCTGTTCCTGCTGGGGAGACCCTGGACTAGAGAGTGTCACCTTTTGTTAAAGGGCAGGAGGGAGAGTCCCATGGGGGCTGATGTAGCCCTGAAAAGGAGGTGAAGTGCTGCATGCAGGCATACAGTAGAGGCAGCTCCCTTTCTATGAGTCTGGAGCTCTACAAAGGTGCGCACCCATGCTAACCACCTCCTGTTCCAAACTCAGATTTATCTTCATGATGCACCAGGGAATTTCAGCTCTTCCTGGAATCAGGCAGCTCTCTTTGCCCTCACATTAGAGGGAGCCTCTAATCTACAAGCTACTGACACAATGTCATCTCTTGGCCGCACCTGTAATCTCAGCACTGTGGGAGGCTGAGGTGGGCACAGACCAGCCTTGCCTACATGGCGAAACCCTATCTCTATTAAAAATACAAAACTTCAGCTGGGCAGAGGCTCACACCTGTAATCCCAGCACTTTGGGAGGCTGAAGCGGGTGGAACACCTGAGGCTGGGAGTCAAGACCAGCCTGACCAACATGGAGAAACACCGTCTCTACTAAAAATACAACTATTAGCCGAGCTTGGTGGCGCATGCCTGTAATCCCAGCTACTCAGAAGGCTGAGGCAGGAGAATCTCTTGAATCCGGGAGGTGGAGGTTGCAGCTAGTGGAGATCACTACACTCCAGCCTGGTTGACAGAGTGAGACTCCATCTCAAAAAAAAAAATTAGCCTGGCATGGTGACGCACACCTGCTACTCAGAGGCTGAAACAGGAGAATCACCTGAACCCAGGAGGCGGACGTTGCAGTGAGCCGAGATCACCCCACTGTACCCCAGCCTGGGCGACAGAGCAAGACTGTCTGTGGGGAGTGGGGAGGGGGAAGAATGATCTTAAATTCCCAAAATGACAGGGACCCTCACTCAAACAAGTAAGCTTCTCCCTTTGCCACACGGCTTCTCAGTCTGTGTAACTGGGTGCCAAGTTCTCTCCCACCCCCAGAAAAACAGGTTTACTATGCAGTGCCTGGCAAGACCCAGCGGTGTTTTGTATTGTCATATCCTAATATTGACACTAGGAAAATCAGCTGCCCTCTGTGCCCGCCCCTCTCCTGGCTGCCTCGGGGCCAACAAGGAACTTGGGGCCTCAGACTGATTTGCTCACATTCTGTTTCTCCCAGGGCCTGGCCCCAACCAACCAGTGGCAGGACAGAGAGAGGCAAGGAAGCGGCCACCTATGTCCTGTTCAGATACACTGCTGGCTTCCTGGTGACCGCCCACGTAAGACTCATGCCAGGACTTCCTCCACACTGCTGAAACTGTTCTGAGCACACAGAGTAGTCAAACTCCCATGGGATCCACTAAGTCTGCAGCAAGGGAAGCAAAAAGCCATTAACTATCTACACATTTAATAGATTCACTACAAACAGGATGCTTTCCGGGGAGAGGGGAAAATACCACCAGCAGCGGTGTCAGTTTCAAGCCTCACTGGCAAATCAAGCCCTTCCTCAATTGGCTCCTTCCAGCTGTTTCAGATGGGATCAGAAGTGGGGGAAAAAGTACACCATTATTAGTAGTCTCTGGTTTCTCTGCAGCTATGACTCCAGATTTCACTTTTTTTTTTTTAGCTGGAGTCTCCTGTTAGCCCAGGCTGGAATGCAGTGGCACCATCTCTGCTCACTGTATCTCCGCCTCTCGGGTTCAAGTAATTCTCCCAAAGTGCTGGGATCATAGGTGTGAATCAAATGTGCAAGAATCTCAAACTATCTTAACATCTTAACACAATTTTAAAGGGCAGGGTGTGGAGACTCAGGCCTATAATCCCAGGAACTGGGACTGCAAGCATGCACGCCACCAGGCCCAACTAATCTTTTTTTTGGTAGAGACAGGGTTTCACCATGTTGGACAGGCTAATCTCAAACTCCTGACCTCAAGTGATCCTCCCAAAGTGCTGGACTATAGGCGTGAGCCACCCCACCCAGCCCCAGATGTCATTTTAATTTTAATTTAAGCAGCCCCTCTATCTAGCCATAGAGTACCCAAGCTGTAACAGACACCAGATCTACCATTTAATGCTGTTTATTTTGAGATGGAGTCTTGCTCTGTTGCCCAGGCTTGAGTGCAGTGGTGTGATTAGTTGCAACCTCCCAGGTTCGAGCAGTTCTCCTGCTTCAGCCTCCCAAGTAGCTGGGATTACAGGCGCATACCACCACCACACCCGGCTTCATTGTGTATTTTTAGTAGGGACTGGGTTTTGCCATGTTGGCCAGGCTGTCTCGGAACTCCTGACCTCAGGTGATCTATCTCCCCTGGCCTCCCAAAGTGCTGGGATTACAGATCTGAGCCACCGCACCCAATCTGATGCTTCATTTTTTGAGACAGGGTCTTACTGGTGTGATCATGGCTCACTGCAGCCTCAACCCAAAGCTCAGATAATCCTCCAAACTCAGCCTCCTGGGTAGCTGGGACCAGACGTACATGCCACCGTGCCCAGCTCATTTTTTGTATTTCTAGTAGACACATGGCTTTACCAGTCTGGTCTCAAACTCCTGAGCTCAAGCAGTCCTCCAGCCTCAGCCTCCCAAAGTGCTAGGATTACAGGCTTTAGTCAAATGTGTCAGAATCTGTCTTAATGTCCTTACGATGACAAAAAAAGGTCCAGGCATGACGGCTCACGCCTGTAATCCCAGAGTAGCTGGGACTACAGGCATGTGCCACACACAACACCCGGTTAATTTTTTGTATTTTTAGTAGAAACCGGGTTTCACCATGTTAGCCAGGCTGGTCTAGAACCCCTAACCTCAGGTGATCCACTTGCCTCCGCCTCCCAAAGTGATGGGATTACAGGCGTGAGCCACCTCGCCCAGCCAGCAGGAGTATTTAAACACCCAAACGGTGCCATTTACTGAGAACTTATTCTAATGGTATCCCCTAAGTAGAAATCGCGGTAACTCCAGGGAGGCCACTAACTTGAATGTGGCTTTCTTCACCCCCAGCCAGAAACCTCAGGGAGACGTTTCTGCAGAATGGACAGAACAAACTGACTTTGGAGAGACGGAGTAGCCCTTCAGAGGCCGCAGGGCTCTCGGACAGTGGAAAAAGGTTTTGGCTTGGCTTCCCATAAACGGCCCTTGGCTTCCAGCTGGACAACTCTGGCATTTCTGTGCCTCCTGGGACTGAAGTGTTTCTCCACCTGGAAAATGAGGCCTCCTGCTCCCAGGGGGAGATAGAATTTAAGACCTTCCCGAAGCCATTGCCCACCCTAATGTGGGAAGATGAGGCTGACACCAACCCTCCCTGGCCACAGTAAACACCGCATCAGCAACAAAAATGTTACAACATTAAGAGCAGCAGCAGCAACAACAACGTCCTGCCCCCTGAGTGGCTCGTTGTAGCAAAACTGAGAACAATTAACGGCTTGAAAGTGATGGCATTTAGGAGGTCAGAGCCCAGATGACAACCAGCTCCAAACCCCTAATCCTTGTCACGACGGCGCCCCGCAGGCGGAGGAACCCCTCTAGGGTCACCCGCAGGGGCGCACCCCCAGTTTACCGACAAGGTCCCACGCCCCAGCCGGGCTCTCGCCCCCGCCCCGCCCGGAGCGCACCTGTGCAGGGCGCATGGGGCAGGTGCGGGCGAGCGGCTGCGCGCCGCTCCGCCTGCACGTTCCTGTTCCGGACTTTCTGGGCGTCCCGTTACGAAGCCTTTCCTCGGCCTGTCCTCAGGTGCGCAGTGCCCCGGGGAGCCCAGTCCCGGCGGGAACAGGTGCCCGACGCCATCTTCCCTCTTTTAAGGACACCTGGGCTGTGCGACCGCGACCGTGGGCTGGCGGTGCCGCGCTGCGCTCTGGCCGGGTCCGCACGACTACAGAGGTCGGAGCCTGGTCCCCGAAAGCCGCGCTCGAGGACTGTGAGGGGGACGATGGGGCTCCCGGCCTTCGGGGCGAGACGCAGAAGGACCACCCATTGCACAGACGCGGGGACTGAGGGCCGCGCCTGGCACCATGCATGTCCGGGACGTGTCGGAGCCGGAGTCCCGGGACGTAGCCCCGCAAGGGACTCGTCCGCGACTTGCCGGAGCAGAAAGACCGGGCATGGGTCCTCAAATTTTCAGCCGCTCGGCACCCGGGGCCGCGGCCTAGGCGCTAATCGCGGGGCTGGAGTCGGGGAGGGGGAGCGGCAGCAGGGTCGGGGTACTCACCTGGCGGCGGCGGCGGCGGCGGCGGCGGCGGCGGCGATGATAGCAGAGTCTGCGACCCAGCAGAGAGGCGTCGTGTCTGCGGCCCGGGGACCCGCGCGGGACCTAATGGACCGGGACGCCCCGCCCCGCCCGGGTCCCGCCCCGCGCCGCCCCGCCCCGGGAGCTGCCTCTCGCACCCCGAGCGCGGAATGCTGGACTGGGGTCTGAATGGCATTAGCAACAGAACCGCTACAAGTGCGGCCGGTTGGCTTGTTTACGGCCTCTCTGCCCCCTGCTGTTCTGCAAACTTGCTTTGTCTCGTGCGTCGCTGTTTTCCCTGCGCCCGAGACGGGCGCGCACTCAGGGGTTTCCATGAATACCCGGGGTCGATCCCTTGCCAGAATCTGGGTGTATAATCTAAGCCCTTTACACGGATGGCTTCCCTTCGAGCTCAAAGTACTCCTAAGGGCTCGGTGCTGTTTTTCACGATTTTACCCGCATGGGAACCGAGGCTCCAAGAGGACGAAATGACTTGCTGAATGACCGCGTGAAGCCAACGCTTGAAAACGTGTGTTCCTTAGGCAGCTCTGGGACTTAGGTGTTTGGTTTTGTTTTGCTTTGGGACGGACTCTCAGCCACCCACTCTGGAGAGCAATGGCACGACCTCTGCCTCCCGGGTTCAAGCGATTCCCTTGTCTCAACCTCCGGAGTAGCTGGGACTATAGGCGCGCGCCACCACGCCTGGCTAATTTTTTGTGTTTTAGTAGAGATGGGGTTTCACCCCGTTAGCCAGGATAGTCTCAATCTCCTGACCTGGTGATCGGCCTGCCTCAGCCTCCCAAATGCTGGGATTACAAGCCACCGCGCCGGGCCAAGAGATTTAGGTATTTTTAAGCCTATTTCACGAATACGAAAACCGAAGTTCACACTTGGGTTAGCAGCAGTGCTCCAGACCCCAAGCCGGTGGGCTTCCCCTCCACTCCCCTCCCTCCGCAGTCTTCCAGCAGCACCCACACACCCACTGCCTTACCCCTCCGGTCTCGGGCTCCCGGACAGCAAGAGCGGGGCGGGACCGGGAGAGAATTGGGGGCAGGGGGCCCACCGGCAGACCTGCTGAGACGGACCCCAGAGACCCACCAAGGAGAGATAAATCAGAAAGGTTCCGGGAGGGGTGGGGGGCGGCAGCCTGCCCCGCGGGGACGGGTAGTGCCTAACTGCGCCCTGGGGCATATTGGGGGTGGGAGAAGAGGAGGCTCCTGGAATAACAAAGTAACGATTGTCCTGATCACAACAAAGCTTGTTTACGCGTGTCCTGATCCTCTTAGAGATCGGGGGAGGGGCAGGAGCCGGGGCTCCCCTCCCCGGACCATCTCCTCCCCCAGCTCTGTCGTTGCTACCTGTTGGGCACCCTCACTGCTCTTCCTACCTCTAGGGTCATTACTTCCCCCTCAGTGTTCTCATCTGTGAAATGGACAACAGCACCTACCAAGAGCTGGGCTGTTGGGAGGAACAGAGGAGGTAAAGCCTGATAAGGTCTTCAGGGTCCCTCCCTCCTGCTGGGCCTTGGACCTTCTCTGCTTTTGTAGTCTTTGCTTCTAGGGCGTCCAAACCACATCAACTCCCAGCGCTACAAAGCAGCTCACCCTGACTGTGGATAACAGCCACAGGGTGCCTTACAGTCAGGAGTGGGAAACCCTTAATTATGGGGCTTCCCTCTGAGTGCATTTTGCAGATGAAGAAATTGAGACTCAGGGAGGTAAAGCAATGACACAGCATCTCTTGGGTCCAAAAGACCTTGTATGTGTGAGATGTTTGCAGAGGGGTCTTGAGGCTGCAGGCACAGGGCCAGGCATGTGGATGTTCAGTAAACAGCAGAACAGATGGAGAATGAAGGACAGTTTGGGGACGCTTTGAATGATTCAAGGGCAAAGTGGGTGAAAATACAGTACTTATTTACTTTGCAAAATCACAAGATAATATGCTGATCAAGGCTGGGCGCGGTGGCTCACGCCCATAATCACAGCACTTTGGGAGGCCGAGGCGGGTGGATCACAAGGTCAAGTGATCGAGACCATCCTGGTCAACATCGTGAAACCCCGTCTCTACTAAAAATTAGCTGGGCACAGTGGCACGTGCCTGAAGTCCCAGCTACTTGAGAGGGTGAGGCAGGAGAATTGCCTGAACCCAGGAGGCGGAGGTTTCAGTGAACCGAGATGGCGCCATTGCACTCCAGTCTGGGTAACAAGAGCGAAACTCCATCTCAAAAAAAAAAAAAAAGATAATATGCTGATCAAAAAGAGGAAGAGATGGCCAGGCATGGTGGCTGTAACCCCAGCACTTTGGGAGGCCAAGGTGGATCACCTGAAGTCAGGTGTTTGAGACCAGCCTGGCCAACAAGGCAAAACCCCTGTCTCTGCTAAAAATAAAAAAAATAGCCAGTGTGATGGCCCTCACCTGTAATCCCAGCTGTTTGAGAGGCTGAGGCAGAGAACTGCTTGAACCTGGGAAGCGGAAGTTGTGGTGAGCCAAGGTCGCACCATTGCACTCCAGCCTGGGCAACAAGAGCAAAACTCTCATCTCAGAAAAAAAAAAAAAGAATCTTATATTCTTTAAAAATCCATGTATGAAAGTCTGGAAGGAAATACAGTAGAGCAAAATGGAAAAAGTAGTCATCGTTGGACGTCATGAAGTTCATAACCCGGCACAACTAACCGATGACGCCAGAGGTGAGATCGGCGGCTCCTTCTCCCGGGTGGAGATGGGTATTGGCTGGGAAGGGTCATAATGGAACTTTCTGAGTTGATGCAGATGGTGGTTGCAGGGGTGCATATGTATGCAAATAGCTGAATGCTTAAGATCAATGCATTTTTCAGTATGTCAAACTCAGTACAGGTGTATTGAGTTTTTGTTTGTTTATGTCTTGTTTTGTTTTTGAGATGGAGTCTCACTCTGTCACCCAGGCTCCAGTGCAGTGGTATGATCTCAGCTCACTGCAATCTCTGCCTCCTGTGTTCAAAAAATTCTCCTCCTGGCCAGGCGTGGTGGCTCATGCCTATAATCCCAGCACTTTGGGAGGCCGAGGCGGGTGGATCACGAGGTCAAGAGATCGAGACCATCCTGGTCAACAAGGTGAAACCCCGTCTCTACTAAAAATACAAAAATAAGCTGGACATGGTGGTGCACGCCTGTAGTCCCAGCTACTCGGGAGGCTGAGGCAGGAGAATTGCTTGAACCCAGAAGGCGGAGGTTGCAGTGAGCCAAGATTATGCCATTGCACTCCAGCCTGGGTAACAACAGCGAAACTCCGTCTCAAAAAAAAAAAAAAAAAAAAGATTCTCCTCCTGCTCCATCTTCCCCAGTAGCTTGGACTACAGGCATGCGCCACCTCACCCGAATAATTTTTTGTATTTTTAGTAGAGACGGGATTTCACCGTATTGGCCAGGCTGGTCTTGAACTCCTGACCTTGGCTTCCCAGAGTGCTGGGATTCCAGGCGTGAGCCACCACGAGCAGTCCTGTTAGTTTTTGTTTTTTGGTTTTTTTTTTTTTGGAGACAGCTTCTCACTCTGTCATCCAAGCTGAAAGTTCCAAGCTGAAGTGCAGTGCCTAGATCTTGGCTCACTGCAACCTTTGCCTCCCGGGCTCAAGTGATTCTCCTGCCTCAGCCTCCTGAGTAGCTGGGATTATAGGCATGCACTACCATGCCCAGCTAATTTTTGTGTTTTTAGTAGAGATGGGGTTTCACCATGTTGGCCAGGCTGGTCTGGAACTCCTGGGCTCCAGGGATCCGCCCACCTTGGCCTCTCAAAGTGCTGGGATTACAGGCATGAGCCACCACACCCAGCTGTGGTTTAGTTTTCTGCCTTGTGTTTTCGTGTATTTTCCGGATTTTCTAGATAGACATGAAAAAAAACCTTTTTTTTTTTTTTTTTAAGAAGAGGAAGAAAACTATTTGGTCTTGTCTCATGCCAGAGCTAAGCCACCGACAATGCCAAATGCCTGCCTTCAAGTCAGTGGCAATGCAGAGACAGACAGAAAGTGACTGTGACCTGAAACGAGGGAAAACTAGCCGCCAGGCTCCCAGAAAGGATACACACATATCAGGGAAAGCTTCCTGGAGGAGGAGCCATTTGAGGGGAATTCATAGAAGGGACTGGATTTCAACCAGAATAGAAAGGTGAATGTGGCCTAATTACCCTGTGGGTACTGGGGAGCTGGAAGGAACTAGAGGTTAAGGAATTGGAATCTAGCAGCCATATGGAGGGGTACTGCAGGGAAAATGATGCCCATTGTCTCTGAGAGTGCTCAGGGCTCCTAAATAGAGGTGGTGCAGCCTCTGTCCAACTGATTGGAGTGCCCGGGCTGCCCCCTGACCCACAGCTGGCCAGCAGTACGCCCATCACCTGGCATGCTGCGTATCCAGCCTGGACTCAGCTGCGAATCTGTGAGGCCCTCCATGGACAGAACTGTTGTGCAAGCTCTGGAAACTTTTTTTTTGAGACGGATACCCAACTCAGGAGGATGTTGACGGGATGTCAGACCCAATGCCGCGTGATCACTATTTTCCGAGGCGGGTGGTAGGGCTGCTGCTTGCCTTCTTTTCCCACTTGGTTTACTTCCTTCCACAGTACCTTCTGCTCTCTTACATAGTTATTCACTTGTCTATTTATTACGTGATGCCCAGCCCCCACTAGAGTCTAAACGGACTCATCTTGCCCTGCTCATCATATAGTGGGTGGTTTGTTTGAGACGGAGTCTCGCTCTTGTTGCCCAGGCTGCCACTACACCTGGCTAATTGTTGTACTTTTAGTAGAAATGGGGTTTTGCCATGTTGGCCAAACTGGTCTTGAACTCCAGTCCTCAGGTGATCTGCCCACCTCGACCTCCCAAAGTGCTGAGATTACCAGGCGTGAGCCACTGTGCCCGGCCAAATAGCTGTTGAAGAAATGCATGCATGTTGTGCATTAGAGCTAAAGAGACATCTATTTTTGGGTGATTTCCCCTCTCCGTCCCTCTCTTCGTTCTTCTGCCCAGATAAACTTCCTTTGAACAATATTTAAGAACAGCTTTCACCGAGGCTTCACAGCTTCTGATTTTATTTTTTTGTGAGACAGTTTTGCTCTGTTCCCCAGGCTGGAGTGCAGTGGCACAATCTCAGCTCACTGTAACCTCTGCCTCCCAGATTAAGTGCCTCTCCTGTCTTGGCCTCCCGAGTAGCTGGGATTACAGGCGCCCGCCACCACATCTGGCTAGTTTTTGTATTTTTAGTTGAGACAGGTTTTCACCATGTTGGGCCAGGCTGGACTCAAACTCCGATCTTAAGTGAGCCGCCTGCCTCGGCCTCCCAAAGTGCTGGGATTACAGACTTGAGCTGCCATGCCCAGCCTTCTCTCTCTCTTTAAGTGAAGAGGTAGGGGGAGGAGCTGCTCCATATGCAGCCCAGGGAGCG